CCCCAAAACCCCAAAACCCCAAAACCCCAAAACCCCGTGTGAAGTAAAAATATTTGAACTCACCAATAAAATAATAGTATGAGTCTGAGTTATATAAGAGAGAAAGAGAAGTGAGTTGGGCTTCTAGATGGAGACAAAAACAAGTTTGGTAGTTACATGAAAAGGAATAATACTCCTAGGTGTATTATTTCCTCTTTTAATGAGATCCAGGATTGGAGTCTTGGTGAATCAATAGGAAAGGTTTCTAAAAGCGGAGAGGAGGTTACTCCTCAGGATAAGAACGCCCTTGGTATTATCTACATGATTATTGGAGGTATTAGCTTCTCTCTTGCAGCTATTGCTTGCAAGTTGGCTTATAAGAGGAATGACTATTTGACTGGATTTGATTACGTACTATGTAGATCCATAATTTTCTCAATCTGAGCTATATTTCAAGTAATATTGATGAAGGTAAACATCCTTAATGTCAAGAAAGGATACAGGTTGCTACTTTTTGTGAGATGTATTATGGGCGGGATAGGTGTATCAAGTTTGTTCATTGCTATGAAGTATGTACCTCTAAGCTTATCTATGCTCATTGTTAACATGAATCCATTATTCGTTGGGATATTTGCTTTCTTCATCCTTAAGGAGAAGTTTACAAAGTTGAATGCGATCGGAACTTGTGGAGCGTTAATAGGAGTTTATTTACTTACAATGCATAAAAGTGGAGGCAGCGGAAGCAACCAGTATTTTTTTATGGGCATCTTCCTCGTATCTATTTCTTGTTGTTGAGAAACTGGTATAAATATCCTACTAAGAATTCTGAATAAAGAGCTTCATTATACGATGAGTCCATTCTGGTTCAGCATGACAACAATATTTATCTCAGGCTCTCTGTTATGCTTTTACCCAACTGTGTTTAACTTTGAGCACTACACATATTCTGAAATTTCTTTGTTCCTTTTATCTGGAGCCTTTAACTATGGAGGACAGGTGTTCAATTCAATTGCTTTTAAACATGCAGATGCATCTCTGTTGTCACCTTTGCAATACTTCAACGTCCTCTATTTATTCCTCAGCGATATTGTCATCTTTAATTCAACATTTACAGCTCTGGACATCCTTGGAGGGTCGATCGTCTTAGTCAGTTTGTTATCACCCATATTCCAGGCTATTTGCCACAAAAATTCCATCCAATAATATTTTCAGGATCCGTCAAGAGACGTCTTAGGATGTTTGAATATCTTTTCAATCCCAGCCCCTACCTATGGGGTTTTGGGGTTTTGGGGTTTTGGGGTTTTGGGGTTTTGGGG